CTCTTTCAGAAGGTCTTACCTTTAATAAGAGCATCTCCAAATTGGAATTTTTTTTCTCTTACAAACAAAGAGCTAATTTCATTCAATATTCTTGGTTTCAATTTCAAATTTTATTATCTAATCTAGCCCACATGTTCTCTGGAGGGTCTTTGATCAATTTTCAGTTCACAGGTCTAACATCTGGAATAAATGGGCTAAAGTAACTCCATCTGAACCTATCTCTTACTTATGTCCCAGGATAGTAAAATCAAGTAAAATTGTGTTTAATCAACCATTTGCTTAGTTAGGACTTCAGCAGCCTGTGTCTAATTGGGTTAGCCTAGTTACTGTTTTATGCATGTGATGATTGTCAGAATGACAGCCTCTTTCTTTCTCTAAAAGAAAGATTTAAAATATCTTTGGGCTTAATACAAACATTCTCAGGAGCGATTTCCAACAGACAGTAATTCCCTTAAAATAGAAACTTTCAAAATGGCATTACTGGTCATCAACACCATGGAGGCTTCTAGCCAGTACTACACACTACTGCTTCATACCAGCAACAACCACAGATTCCGGAAGAACTACAAATGCAACCAGGAAAACTCTTGATTGACTGATGTTTTCCCAGCTTCCTTACTTCCAATGCATTTTGCTACCGCTGAACTTTTTAGACAGTCTATTATATATTACACCCACTTTGGGAACAGGACTAGTACTCAGTTTTTAACAGCAAATCAAATATATATGAAATGATTTTACTGTGTGACCTGGTAAAAGTCACTTTCTTTTTCTTTTTTTTTTTCCCCTGGTACTGGGGCTTGAATTCAGGGCCTACACCTTGAGCCACTCTACCAATCCCAAGGTCTTACTGATCTGTGCCCCGAGTAGCTAGGATTACGGGTGTGAGTCCCCAATGCCCGGCAAGTCACTGTATTTCTGGGCTTCAGTGTACTCATCTGCAAAAGAAATTTAACAAGATAAATAAGGATCCCTTCTACCTCTGCAGTACTGTAAACCCAGCTGCCATTTAATGGAAAGAAGAGACTAAGCAAGAAGAATTTGAAACCAGCACAGATCCCAGCACTAAAAAAATTTCTAAACCTATTTCCTATCTCCCCTAAATATACACTCACTCAGATCTGAGAGCCCAATGATTAAACACTTAGTTCTCAGTCAAAGGCTAAAGTGGTCTGCTACAATGGCTTCCTGGGCTAAGTGTGTGTAGGTGCTCAAGAAACACCGTTAGTGATGGCATCATTGTGTGGTGAAGAGAGACTACTCCACAGGCTTCAGAGTGCTTTGGATTATCCCAGAGTTAAGCAGTGTTGGCTAATTATCTTGCCTGGTACTACTCACTAGAGCAAAGGGAGACAGAAGCATAGTAAGAGAGTGGCATTATTGAGAAAGAACTCTGAAAGGGGAAATAATGATCAGGGTAGGGTTTCTTTAAGTAGATTTCACCTATTACCTATATTGTTATACTTGCTTGAAAAACTTCCCGAACTTTGCACATTCACAGAATCTTATAAAATATGCTAAAAATAGTGACTCAACTGTTAGGAGACAAACACTTTGACCTGGAAAAGGCCCAATATCTATTGCCAATGCAGTTACTGCTTCTTAGAATTAGACTAGTCTTTTAACCACATGGATTTCAGGGTTGAGCCTGAAAACAACCTGTCATGGTATATAAAGGACACTGGATTTGTCGTCAGATTAAATGAGTTTGAGAGCTAGGGGTCATGGCTCAGGTGGTACAGCGTCTGCCTAGTGACCCTGAGTTCAAACTCCAGTACTATCAAAAAAACCACAACACAACAAAAAAACGTAGCTTTGAATCCTGGCTTTACTATTTACTACTGAGCAATCTTTGGCAAATTTTGAAACCCCACTGGACCTCAATTTCCTCATCTGTAAAATGGGGATACCCCACTTGCAGAATGTTGTGAGGACTGGCAAATGTATGTAAAGTATCGAGCATTATCTAGTATGTAAACACCACAGTTTAGTAAATACTTTTAGTGATAGTGTCATCACTGCCAGTCAGCATCAAATAACAAACATCAACACAGTGTGTGGTCTTCCCAACTCAGAAACTATAAAAATAAGAAAAGAAAAAAATCTAGAAGTCATATATGCATTAGCTGGTTCTGGGTCACAGAAGAGTCACCCTTACCCTACTTCCTTCCTATACAAAAACCAAAGACTGCGACAGAATAGAAATAGGTGGGGTGTGGCTAAGGTGCTTGCTAGTATGTACAAGGCCCATTTGATCCCCAGTACCAAGCCAAAAGAAAAAAAAAAAAACCAGAAACACAATTACTAAAGAGAGGCTGCTACAGGCAGTCCACTATCAGTGTGCAGGAGGTATGGAAAGGAGAAAACCAAACTACAAAAGGCAGATCAATGAGGTAAAATCGCCTAGGACCATTTTCTGTAGACACTCATGACTACATGGCCTCACTAGCTTTAGAGTACACTCTAGTCTATGACACCACTGTTCTAAGCTATTATCATTAAGTTCGTCATATTTTGTTAAAAGGTGGTAGAGAAATTTTTCAAAATGCTTAAAATGTGAATAGTTTTGATGGTTAAATTACTTTAGATTTAAACCCCAGTCCCACTAACACAAAAAACAAATAGGCTTTGGGCAGGGGGACAAGGCTCAAGTAGCAGAGCACCTGCACAAGGTCCTAAGTTCAAATCCCAGTACTGCTGAAAAGAGAAAAAAAAAAAAAAAGGCTACAATTTGTGGGAAAAAATTTTGACTGTATGAAACTGTTCAAGACCAGTAATGTTAGACAAATACATTTACTGAATGAAGACATACACAATGAAGGACAAATCTCTTAAGTAGGAGGCCAATCTCCAGACAGGTGGGAATGGGGGGGTGAGGGAGGGAGGAGACACAGTGAAACATTTGTGACTATTCATTCCGTCTTTCTTGAGGGAAAAAGCTTGCTTTCAAGATCCTATTTTAAGGAAAAACTATGCTAAGGCTGAATTCGGATGACAAAACCAGTCAGGTTACATGTGAGCGCTTCCTCTCTCCCCCAGGTTTTACTTCTCTCAATTTTTCTTTATTCTCTCATTTCATAAAACCAGTCACTTAGCTGCTGTAGAGAACCCAAAGTGCAATGAAAGAAAAGCATTGCCAACTCTATGCCTATGGGGCCAGGACTTGATTCTTCTAATGAGGTAATAAGGAAGAGCTAAAATTCTGCTCCTTTTGTTCTGGCAGACTTACTTTAAATGGATACCAAGGCAGGCCTTGGGAGATGGGGTCTTTTTTCCTCTCTGATCTTCTCACATGGGCCTGTGTCTGACTTGAAAACAATAAGCGCTACAGGAATTTTAAGCTCTAGAGAAATTTTAAAACTGGATTGAATTACTGACTAGTATTTTCACATCTGAAAAGAGCTTGTGGCTATTACTTTCCTCAGAGCTAACTGATGTATGTAAACAATTTATTTCAGACCTGAGACTATCTCATAAAAGTAAACTTCTTTTTTTCTTTTTCGGTACTGGGGCATAAACTCAGGGCCTATACCCTGAGCCACTCCAACAGCCCTTTTTTTGTGATGGGTGTTTTTGAGATAGGGTCTTGTGAACTACTTGCCCTGACTGGCTTTGAACAGAGATGCTCCTGATCTCTGCCTCCTGAGTTGTTAGGATTATAGGCGTGAGCCACCAGCACCTGGCCAAAAAATAAACTTTTAAAAACATTACTTTTATTTGTAAGAGGTGAAAGGACCTTAAAAGGCTGTTTATTCAATCTCTTATACTATAGCAGAAGCACTATGGGTCTGCGCAGCAGAGAAAATCTCAGCAAAGATGCTTGGAGAATGTGCTGAGTACAGGCGCAAAACATCTTATTAGAAGATGGAAGTCAGAGTAAAAACAGGTCCTTGGGAAAGTTTCCTGGAGTCCAGTTTTCTTGTCATATTCACTAGAGTAGATCCCACAGAAAACAAAATCGTTGAAATTTAAAAAAAAAAAAAATACTATGAATTTCCTCTAGTTAGTAATTGGGAGGATCAAACCCGAGGACCTTCGAGGCCTAATCTGCAGATATATGGTTCTCATAAAAACTGGTCCTTAATGAGCACTGTGAGGCAGCTGGTCTCTGGCTAACAAGTTTGGTGGTGAATGAATACTCCATGGAGAATATGATTTCTCTGTGCATGTGAAGAAAACAAGGGGAAAGGACACACATTTGGAAAATAGCTAAGAATAATCTTTTAGCTATGAATGTGCAGTACATTACGAAACACCAGGCTGGGGGAGTAGCTCAGTGGTAGAGTGCATGCTTATCACGGGTGAGGCCCTAGGTTCAATTCCCAGCATGGGTAAAAAGCCCATAAGATTCTGCCTTTGGCACAGATTCTGAATTACAGCACTGAGCCCTTGAGACTCCTCTAACTGGTATAGAACCATTTCATGTTCAAATCCTCTCCCATTCAAATGTGCCAATTCATAATAAGGTAACATACTTATCTAGATTTATTTCCAGTCTTATCTTTCTACACTAACTGCCCAAGTAAGTGTGTTTAATGTCAAATATCCACAGGGTTCGTTATATTTTGGCTAGGCTGTATCTTTTCTTTTTCTTTAATCATACATTAATAATACCATGTGGGTTATACCTTTGATATCTACAGAAGTCTCAGAATTAATATCTTTTGAATTAAACATAGCAGAGTTATAGGCTTCAAGGATGTGTGCTATTGTGATTTGAATAAATAGATGGAATACCTTTGAAGGCCTGGCCTTCATTTTAAAGTCTTAAGCTGGATTGGAAGGCTGGAGAGTTAAGTTCACCCCCTGTCTAAAATCAGTAAGTATATGATCTTGGGTTCATTTAACTGTCATGCCTCTATTTTGCTGTTTATGAAACAGTAGCTTACTGTGGATGTTATATGCAATACCTGAAGTGCTCTGACACCCAAAAGAAAGCAAACTTTTAAAGACACTTCTCCATATTCAATAATTCAGGATTTTACTTACACATAACTTACCTATATCGCTCCTCCTGTAAGGTCTGCATGATTAAGGAATAGTCCCTTTGATAATGTTCCTTGAGGGTCTCAAAAGATTCCTCGAGTCTTGCCTGGGTTTCCCGGATCTCCTGGACCTCATGTAGCAGTGCATCAAATCCCGAGCTCTGCATGTCCAAAGTGTTTGTTTTGGAGCTGGACGCTCCTACACCAATGCCTCCAGTGGTGCTGTTGGCTCCCACTGATCCTGAAGTGGCACTAGAACAATCTTCCTCACTACCATATTTTGGGCTTGACTGAAAGTTTGAAATCACCCCCAAAGCCTTGCCCCCATCATCCACTTGTCCCTCCTCTAAAGAGTCCTTCAGGTTGGGGATATTGTCTGCACTGCCAAATTTGTTTCGAATCAGTGAGGCAATCTCCCTGGGTTTTGAGACCACAGCTCCTGCTGCTGAATGTGTGGCCTGGGAAAAGCTGGAAAAGCCACCTTTGACACTATCCACCACACCTTCACTGAAGCCTGTCACCTTGGCTCCCACATCCTTCAGACCCTGATGCATGTCCCTGAAGACATCCTTTGGCTGTCGGGGGATCCCATTCTGTTCTACCTCTCTGAGCTTCCGGTGGTAGTGCTCAAGCTTCTTCTGTAGCTGGAGGATGGTTTGGGCAGATTTCTGGTTCTTCTTTTCAAAGACCTGTTTGATGCGGGCAGCCTGCTGCTTGTCTGCGCTGTTGGCAAGCTTCAAGTATTCAGCAACGTTGTCATCCCGGGCTGTTTGTGCAATCTTGATCTGTTCTGTGAGCTTTAGGATCTTCTGTTGCAGGTGAGCAATGGCAGCCTTTGTACGCTGAGGGTCTGGTACTCCATCCACAGACTCTGTGTGGATGCTGCCATCGGTGCTAGAGGCCACCGCACTGGAAGTCTGGGCGAGGCTGCTTACTTCCAACCGTTCGATCTAACATAAAACCAAGAGGTGGATGTTAGAAGTTGTCCAAGAGAGCTACCTTTCCAGAATCAATGGGCCAAAATGTCCTGAAATTTTATCTATTCTCAACTCTCAGACATATAATTCCTGTCCTGTACCAGCCCTGTCTCCCTCTTGGATACTGTCCACATACAAGTAATATATTGCTTTAAAAAAAACATGGTAATATAGTGTATAAAAACAGATTTGCACAAGGATTTTTCACAGTATTTCTTTAAATAACAAAGCTCCTTAAGTGGGTTTAAAGTATGGATTTATATTCTACACGTGTACTTTTGTTCAGAAGCAAATTTATGTACAATAAGGTACATCTGTTTTTTAATTTAACGGTATGAAAACCATGTTGGCATTCAGATATCACTGTAATTCTGATCCACACTCACACAGTAGTCACCTGAAAATGTTGGCAAGAATAGTTATGCTAATGCCTAGATATAAACATAAAATTTTTATCACAATGTCTTTCTGTCTAAATCATGTCCAAGATAATGGAATCATTCTCTAATCTAATAAGGACACTGAACTGGTAGCTGGAAACAGGCAGAGGTGAGAATGGGAAGGTACTGCCCCAAGTGGCAAACGTGAATGTTAGAAAACACAAGTAACTAATACACCTGGGCAAGATAACTGAACCCTCAGGTGCGAGGACAGTACAGGGTAAATAATTAAACAAATCAAGGACTACGGTTAGGTCTTTTGGGAACCAAAAATAAAAATTACAAAAATTTTGTGAGTTTTATAAAATAAAAGGTTTTTGTTAGGCAGGGGACTCCAAAGCTCACATACTATCTTTTCATATGGGTAAAAACCATTCAAAGGAATTGAAGAAAGACAAAACTGCTCAGATTTGAAAGCTTAAATTTTCAAATTTTAAAGAGTTAGCTGAGTCTGGGGAGAAGTATGGTTTCCTAAACTCAGAAGGAAAATAAGATCCTTGAAGAGGGTGCCTCTGGGTATGGCTTGTGGTGGTCAGTAGAATAGGGCCCAAAGAAGAAAGCTTTAGAAATTGCCCTCTACTGAGCAGAAGGAAAAAGAATAGAATTAGAGTAATAAAAATTCCCAGTGCAAGTGCTCTTTTCTTCCTGAAGGGTTTTTTCAAGATAGGGTCTTGCAGACTATTTGCCTGGCTGACTTCAAACTGATCTCTGCTTCCTGAGTACCTAGGATTACAGGTGTGAGCCACCAGAGCCTGAAAGAATTTTCTTAAAGACACATTCATAAAGGCACAAACATGAAAAACCGGGTAACTGAATCCAGTTCTTTTAGTGTAGTGAAGCACGGATTCTGACATAAACTACTTGGTTCAAATCTGACGTCCCTAAGCTGCACGACCACCCATTTCATCAGTTGTACGATGGAGATAATACTAACTCACTTAGTATTATCACTTCACAAGGCTGTTGTGAGGATGAAAGAAAGCAGTAAGTAAAAAAATGCTTAGAACAGTATGTGGCACAAATCAAGCTATTAGCATTGACTATTATTTTTGTGCCACGAGAGTAGTTTTTTTTTTGTTTGTTTAAATTCAAATACTAAAAGATTCCAGAATGCACTCCCTTCTAAGACCTTTCATATTGCCGGAATAACCAAAGGAACAGCACCATAAAGGTGATATAGTCACCCTTCTAGGTAGTTGCCTTTGTGGCTCAGCCTGACCAGCTAATCTTCCAATCCTCACAATGAGCCTGTAAGACCAACACTTACCCTCAATTTACAATTGCCTCCCACCACCAGTTATCACAAGGCAGGAAGACTGCAGCAGCCTTACCAGCTGAACCTAAGGGCTTTCATTTCTCATCATCCTGGCTCCTGAGAGAGGCTGGGCTGAGCACCAGCGCAGCCATCATTTGGTTCTAACTGTTGCTGTAACAAGTAGATAATACTGCTTTGCCTGTACTTCGTCTCACATATTAAGAACTCATTTGCCAGACTTAAATTATCTATTATTTGAGATGAATTAACTGATCAGAAAACAATTTAAGAGAAAATTTAAATAGCCAACACCTCAAAATACTGACTCATCAGGGACAGAGTAAAGTCATTCAGGGCATAGTGTCTTAAGAAGTTTTTAACTGCTTAAAATTTTCATCTCAAATATATTAAAAATCCATATCCTTTCTGTAAGTGGATGGAAGTATTGGGACAGGATGAGCATTATGGTGCACAGAGGCTGAGGCAGGAGAATCACAAATTCAAGGTCAGCCTAGGCTACATAAAGAGATCCTGTCTCAAAAAAACAAATTCCGAGAGAAGGTAGAAGAGGGTGGAAGAGGGAGAGGGAGGAAAGGAAAGGGAGGGGATGGGTGTTGAATGTAACAACACCAGAGCACTCAGCTTTGTTAGATCATGTGTGAGGCAATATGGTACAAAGGGCACTGACAAAGAAAAGCAACATGACCTGGGTTCAACTTGGCTTTATTTACCACATTCACTAGCTGTGTGCTTTGGGGCCACTTGCTTGTTCTTTCTGGGACTAAGTTTTCTCATCTACACAGCAGGGTTACCATTTCTTCTCATGAGATCTTTTGAAAAGAAGTTAAATGTGTGACATCAGGAGCTGGGGTTGTGTTGCAGGGTGGCAGAGTTGCTTGGTTCCCAGCAAAACCAAAAAAAAAGAAAAGGAGGAAGAGAGAGAAATAGAGGAAACAAGGAAGGAAGGAAGGAAAAGGCTAAATCAGATTATTACTAACAAACGTGTTAAATAAAAATTTCAAGGCCCAGGAATGTCTAACATGCATGAGACCCTTGGTTCCATCCCTGGTATTGAAAAAGCAAAAAAAAAAAAACAAAACAAACAAACAAAAAAAAACCCACGTCAAGAGCTCCAATGAGCACGGTAGCAGCCTATATCCACAAGATCAAGAGTTCTAGGCCAGCCTTGGCAATATAGAGAGAACCTGTCTCAAAAAAGCTGGGTGTAGTGGCACATTCCTGAAATCCCAGCACTGGGGAGGCTGAGGTAAAAAGACCAAGAGTTTGAGGCCAGCCTGGGCTATACAGTGAGACCCTGACTCAAAAAACAAAAAAGACAAAAACACCAAAACAACAAATTATAGCAGGTCACTGTTCTGGACTAAGCTCCTACACTAGGCCCCAACAAACTCAGCTAAATATCACTCGAAAGTCCCATACCACAAAGTTGAAATTAAATTGTTATCTAACTTCTAATCAGGATCAGAGGAGCAGCTAAATTTCCCAAACAGCCCAGTGTCAATTGGCATAATAAAGTTCCCTTTCTTTTAATCCCTTCACAAAAATGGTAACCTAAAGTAACTTATTTTAACCAATTATCAGTTATTTTTCCTATCGTTCTGTCTTCCTTTCCCTGCCTTACAAGGAAATAACTTTGAAATGTTTTTCTACTTTCTTCCATTTTTTTGTCTTTAAAACCACTGTCTTGTTTAGCTCATTGCAAAACTTCTTTAGAGAATGAAGTGCTGTTCAACTTTAGAATCAAAAATAAAGCCAATTAAGATTGTTAAGCTAAACTGTTGTAATTTTTACCTGGCAACAGTAAATATTCAAGAAATATTCAAGGCTCATTATCCCAAATCCAAGTACATATTAAAAGATTATTCAGGAATGAAAAAGGTATTTTAGGGCAAAGGAGAAGGGGATGGAGACAGGGGAGGTCCTTATAATTAATTTGGAAACCCTGAGATGCTTGAGTAGTTTGTTTTTTCTGAAAGCAGTCCTAGGAAGGCACGTTTTATAGAATGAATTGTGCTGTTGCCTTGTGTTTGTTGGTGCAGACCAAGTTTGGCAGTTCTGCTGAAATTTTTATCTCAGAGATGGAATGGCCATGTTGTTTTTGAATAAAGGTTGAAGTGTATTCAATTCAAGAGAAGAACAGGACAGAATATTTGATTTTTTGGAGATTTTCCCTAAAATCAAATTTGTAAATTAGAATCCCTAAAGATTCCTAATCTTGGCCCTAAGAATCACATGGGAGCCTGTCATCTAATCAGCAATGAGCTTGGAGGTGCTCTGGCTGACTGCAAGCCTGTCTTTCTTTGCCCATTAGATTACGCTGAGGCAGTAAAACCCAGGAGAGATTTGGTTTGAATTTGCATCATCTTCTTGAGGCCTGCCTTTGCCAACAACTTCCCCATACCTCACACCTATGAAAAAGAAAAGGAACCCATAATAAACTGGGCTGGAAGTGCACACCTAAAATCCCAATGCTAGGGAGGCCAAGGTGGGAGGATTATGACTTTGAGGCCAAAGACCTGTCTCACCTCCTCCCCTCAACAATAATAACAGCAGTAGTAACAAAAACAACATTAGTTAAAAGGCAGCAGACAAAAGTGTGCATACTGAGTTGTTTCACTTATTCAAAGACCAAGAACTAATGAAACAGCTGGGTGTGGTAGTGCCTATAATCTCAGTTATACAGGAGGTGAAGGAAGGAGGATCTGAAATTTGAGGTCAGCCCTGGCAAATGTAGCATTGAGACCCTGTCTTCAAAACAAACAAAACAAAAAAAACAAAGAGGTCTGGGGGCAAGGCTCAAGTGGTATAGCACTTGCCTAGCATGCTCCAGGCCCGAGGAAGGTAGTAGGGAAAGGGAGGGGAGGAGAGAGAAGAGAAACCTATAGTCTAAAAGCACTTTGTATAGTAGGCCCATGTTAATCATGATCACGTTTGTCACTCATCTCCACTGCCTCACTGTAGAAATGTCATGTCCATCCCCAATCACTCCTGTGCAATTCTGACGGTTTGCTAGTCTGATACTGCACTGTGAAATGGAGAGGTGATCTCAAGGGGAGGGTATTAGCAAAAAATGAAAATGGATTAAGTTCCATTAGCTCATAGTCAGCAAGCATTTTCTTTAAGCATTCCCCCTTTCCATTTTGGAGCTAAAACCAAGATTTTGCTTATAGTCCAAAAAAAAAAAAGAGACCTTTTTTTTTTACGGTTCACACACACACACACACACACACACACACACACGCGTGCGCGCGCACGCA